TCACACAATCATGATTTTGTTGATTGGGTGTAAATATTGCACATTGGTACAGACATAAAAGTTAAAACCACTCGTTGTGAACAAGCCTCGTCATTGGGTTTGGGTTCTGGTGGGTTTAGGTGTACTCCGGTCCGGAGGACTCCTCGGACACGGACCGCTGCGCTCTGAACGGGTCGAAGCCATTCTCATCCACCGGCAGGCAGTTCCCGGCTGAGTTGTAGCCCTTCTTTTTAGCCCTCACCTCCTCCATCTTGATGGTGTCGTACAGCCCCTGCGGGGCCTCGTCCAGCAGGTTATCCCTCTCCGAGAAGGACGGCTTCATTTGGCACACATTACGCAGCAGCAGTAGCGCGGGCGCGTAAAGCACGTTAACCAGACCCATGCCCAGGTTGAGCTGCACGAAGCCCATGCTGTGCACGATCTGTCCGGCCACGATCGGACCCATGGCGTAGGCGATGGAGTATGAAATATCAGCTATGGCATACACGCTGCCGTACACGGAGACGTGACGCACGTCCACCAGAAAGGCGAGCGTCGGCAGCAGCGCGGTGTCCACCAGCGCGATGCCAAAGCAGATGCCGCACAGTGGCGCGATCAGCTGCCCGAAAGTTTTGCACGCGGGCACCGTGCACGAGCTCGCGCCTATGATCACCATCCCCAGCGCCCCGTAGAACCACTGCAAGTGTGGATTCTTTGCTGCCAGTTTGACGGTGATGAACACTCCCAAGACGTGGGGGAAGAAGGCTGGCAGCCAAGTGAGTCCCATCTCCCACTGGGAGGAGTGCATGGTGGTCTCCATCCAGTTGGCGATGGTGGGCTCAAGGAAGGCAAGAGGGATGTTGGCCACTGTGAGCGCCCCGGCCACCACGGCGATGTAGGGGTCAATCATGAGTCTGTAGATGGGGGTGCCCACTGGCATGTTGTCTCGAGTTCTGTTGGAGAAGGGCTTGATGACGGTGAGCAGCAGGAAGCCGTCCGCCAGGCAGACGGTGGCGAGCACGATGAAGGGCACCCTCTTGCCCGCGAACTCGTACAGGATGCCCCCGAAAGGAGGCGCCACCAGGCTCCCGAAGGAGATGAAGGCCAGCGAGATGCCGAGCGCGCGGCTCCTCTCCCCCTCCTCCGTGTACTTGTCGGCGATCATGGCGAACCCGGACGTGTCCGCGAAAGCCGAGCCCAGACCCTGCAGGCTCCGGGCCACGAACAGGGTCGCGTAGTTCTCCCCGAAAGCAAAAATGCACGTGGACACGAACATGACGGTGAGTCCGATCAAAAGGGGGATGTCGTATCCGACTCGGTCTATAAAAGTTCCCGACAGTGGGTTGACTAAGAGCTGCAGGATGGCTTTAGAGGCAAACAGTACTCCGATCTGGATGTCTAAGTTGTTGCTTTTGTCTTGATTTGTGCTGTTGGCTGAGGAGGTGTTGGGGTGCAACACAACGTGGACGTGCTCGGACTGCTCCATCTCCAGATCAGCCAGATAGTCCGGGATAATTGGCACGATCACCATGTAGAGCATGTTGTCCAGCAGCAGAGCCACGCAGACGATCACCAGTATGATCCTCTTCTGTTGGTGAGGGTCTTTCATGGTGGAGCCGAACTGTTTGGTTCTTTGTCCCATCTCGGACAGTTTGACAGCGGCTGATTTGGCCAGCCCGGATCCTCCTTCTCCATCCATGGCTTCCCACCCCCTTCTTTATATTTATTTTTTAAAGAAAGATCAAAAATTGTAGATGCGCTTCCCTCTCTGCCTTTCAACACCTGGGAGGACTCTCTACATGGGTGTGTTGCTCTCCGACCTCACCTCGCCTGTGCGTAAAGGGAGCGGCGCAGAGGAGCTCCTTCATCGGTGGAGATGGCTCTCTTCAGCTTCCTCGACTCGTCCGCGGCTCCGCCACGTCCGACGCTGTTTCATGATCTCCCGAGAAGTGACGTGGTGAAATTCTGCTGCTTGGCAGAGATTTTTTTTTCTTTCTTTCTTGCCACTATCCTTTCATGCAAACTTGTTTTTATTCTTATTTATTCTCTCACACCGCGGCGCTTAAAGTATCTCATCCGTCGTGCCTTCCATCACCTGTGACTCGTGCTCTCCGCTCTGAGAGGACAATTGGCTTGGTGGCCATTGGCGCACATTAGCCCGCAGGTTCTGCGCTATTTTGGTCCAGTTTTTGTCTCCCTCCTCATTTCTCTAAAGAGCTGTGACGCATCACCAGCTTGCCCCCAAGTGAATCCCTTCACTTGCCTCCTTTATGGTAATTTCCAACAATGACAGCAGTCAATTGGACCAATAGGAGTGGAAGATGTGGAGAAAAAGTTTTCCTGTGTTTAGTGTATTCTTATAATGAAAAATAAAGACTGTTCACAATGAAACTGTTTTGTTGTTATAATAACACATTCATAAAGCTGTTGGGTTGGTTGGACCAAATACTGGGTCAAAAAGTCAGAGATGTACCACCTGTGCCTTAAAATGAGGATTTGTCCCGTTTTAAAAGTAAAAATCATATTAAAGAAACACAATTTGCTCCTTAGCGGAGATCTGTATATGATAAATGAAACAGTGATATTGTGTTTTCCTGATCAGAGTGGCAGGAAACATGTTGAGCACAAAAATACACGTTTGTTAATTAAAGGGACTACAAAGTTGCTTGTTCAGGCTGCACTTTTGTTTATTAAATTGGACAACAACCTTTTAGTTATTTATTTAAGTGATGTTGTATTTCAAACACAACACGAAGGAAGTTGTTTTCTGTGACAACGCAATGTGAACGCTGTGCCCCAAATGACTCAGAAGCTGAAACTGAATGTTAAAGTTCGAAGAAGCAGAACATCAGCTAAATTACAAAAGTAGCTAAATGCTAGCTAAATGTAGCTTTACTGGCTAAACATATAAGTCTAGCTAAAAGGAGTAAAATATAGTCAATAGGTGCAAAAATACGAATTATTGTTAATTTAATCTTTATTTAAACAGGTAGTCTCATTGAGTCATGAGGACTTGTTTCCAAGAGGGGTTAGTTTGGGGGTGGCTGGTGGGGGTTAAGGGCCTTGCTCAAGGGCCCAAGGTGGGGCAAATGAGGGTGGAGGCAGGTGCAAGTGTTTCACCTTTTCCACCCACATTTTGATATTGTCAGTCCGGGGAATCAAACATGGTGACTTTTCGATTGCAGGCCCACCTTCTCTAGCCTCTGTTTTTGTTTTTGTTCTATTTAGTTTGCACTAGCCAGTGTTTGTGTAAACTCATTATTTGATTAAAGCTACACCTCAGCCCAAGTTTTAATTATCTAATGAGGCAAACTGAAGGGTGTTCTTTACTTTTTAGTAAATATAGTTCAACAAATTGGTAATTTAAACTCAACCTTTGTGTAAAAAACTCAACCCAATAGTCAAACTTATTCCAGCTTTGAGTTATAAACTGTGTTGTTTTAAACCTAGGTGTTATTAGCATGTAACTATTTTTACATTTCATTATATTTAATCATAATGACATGCTTATTACCAGTGATCCAGTTCCTGTTTGTGATATTTTTGAATAGATTTCTATGAACATCAAAATATCAGAATCAGAATAAGCTTTATTATCATTATCATTGAGATACAACGAGAATAATAATAATTAATGCCAAATAATTAAATACATTATCCGACGCTAAAGTATTTAAGTAAATAAATAGTTTAGTTTAGTAAATCATCACTTGTTGTTCTTTTTTTTTTTTTTTTTTTTAAACAAACTAATAATTGAACACAAACTCAGAGACTATTGGAAGACCTTGGGAGATTTCCAGGCTGAAAGGTTTCAGCTTAGCAGTTTATTTATTTATTTCCACTCACAATTCCTTTGTATTGAATAAAATAAAAAACTATGTATTGTACATGTAAGGGATCAATATAGGAAGCTCACAGAATCATACTGGCTGCTCTGTCCGGATCCATGTTTAGTTACACAGCAGCGACCCCTTGTGGTCATAACTAAGAGGTACACAGAAAGCAGTTCCCTAACTTTTTGTTTACCTAATAACAATTATAACAAAATATTTATTTATAATTTAAACATGTTCGAAGTTTGATAAATAGAAAAATTATATAGTATTCAGTTAATGTTTGCTCATGTCTGTACTAGTCTGTTAGCAAAGTATTTCATGAACATGCACAGATTTTAATGAAACTCTTACAAAGTAATCGTCTACAAATAACTTTTGGAGTCAGCCAAATTCAAGATGGCTGCCACAGCTAATAACCTACACAAAAATGACTTTAACTTTTGACAAATGTGCCAATATTGAGCTAAAATTTGACGTGGTAGTAGCTGAGAGTTATCACTAACACATGGTTTGAGCGCTAAAATATGATCCGAGATTTAATCAGTTTGATCAAAGCAACTATAGCTGTGATTTATCATAACATAATTTAGTATAAAAGTCTGGAAATGTGTTGAACTGTATGTAAAAAAAGTATTTATTTATGTACGGTATTTTTTTTTTTTTAAATATTCCAACAAAATCTTTCCATTTTACTTTAATTTTCACTTTCCTCACATTGAATTTTTTTTAACAATCTGAAACACCATTTAGTTTTTATGAAGACAGACTAAGTATTAAAAAAAAAAAGTCAGAAATTCCTGTTTGACACCAGAAAACAGTGATATTTTAACAATTTCAGGGATATTTGTTAATACATAAAAGGTATAAAAATGACACACTTATGCATTTCAGTAAAGTTTAAATGGTGTATTTACATTTTTACCAGTAATCAACATTATAACCCAATACATGTATGCTTTATTTGCTGTGTTTACATTTAATGTTTCGTTTTCTGTCCTGTGGTTTTAACAGTTAAACAGTAATAGATGCTGCACTGTTCCATGGATTATCTGAAGCTGAAAGGGCAGTTTGACAAACACACAGGAGGATTAACAAGGAAAAACTGCCCAATTTTACTAATGACAAATGCTTGGCTCTGCAGCTGCTATTACATAAATAGTTTTTTTAATATTATAGTTTCATACCGCTGACATAATGTGGCTTTTTAAAATGCACATGTTGGATGAATGATGTTGACCTCTCTTGTGTTTTTAATGTAAATTGGCAGAATGAAGAAATAATCTGAAGGCTGATTTATGACAAAACGACTTGACATTTGGTGTGCTGAGAGAAAACAGTTTCATGAGTGATCTTATGATTCAAATGGTAATAATAATTTAAAAAAAAAGTCAGACAGGTGTCATCTTTGACAAATTTTCAGTTATTGTTGCGGCGTTAGAAATTACGACTAACAGTTCATACAGGATTATATAACACGTGCTCAAGCTGATCATAGTTTTATGATGTTTTTTCAACTTGTGATATGATTCGACCTGTGACGTTTAATGTGTAATATTTAGGATTTACTCAACGTTAGTTTCCTGTCTGAGTAGCGTTCACCCTTTTCTCGGATTAGACATTATAGCCAATGAAGACTTGTCCGTATTAGTTCAAAATGCTATTAGTCGATCTGGATGTTGGAAACTTAAAAAAAAAAAAAGATTAAAAAAATGATTACTTGCCATTGTTTTCATTGTGTAAATTTGTTACTCAGCATCACTGAGTGTCATATATTTTTACTGAATCCTGTTGTATATAGATAGATGATAGATGTATACTTTATTGTCCAGCTTCATCCACAACTAAATACACATCAACAACAAAAGGCATGTGAACGTCACAATAAAATAAAATAAAATAAAAACACATATTGTTAATGTAATTAAATATTGTTCAATACAGTAGTCCCTCGCTACTTCACGGTTTGTTTTTCGCAGACTCGCTCTATTGCGGTTTTTCAAAATAAGATTGGACATGGCACACAACTGGATGATTGATGGATGAGACGCACGATCAGCATGGAATTTTTATTCAAAATAAATTATTTAAAATTATTTTGCACCTGCTGCACTTTTGTGCAGCCCACAGCTGAAGGAGAAGCTTCCTCCTGCAGCGTGTGATGAACTCCACTCTGCAGCAGAGAAGTGGGCGTGGCCGAAAGCACTGACAGGTGGCAGGGAGCTGAAATCATGATATTCTGTGCTCTTTTAGCATGTAACCTATATTACTACTTGTACTACTATTCCTACTTCGCGGGTTTTCATTTATCGCTGGGCTTCAGGGTACAGATTCCCCCGCGATAAACGAGGGACCATTGTATATGTATTTTATTTATTATTTTTCAAAAACGGAAACATAACAGGTTTTTAAAACTCATGAATGAGTTAAGGATATGGTTGTGCCAATTTAAATCAACTGTGGTGCCGTCCAGTACATTTTATCGTTATTGGTTGGATCCACTCCCTGTGGAGTTTTTACGGATAAATAGTGAAAATGTTCAAAGTGTTACTAAATGATGACGTTAAATAAGAAGTGTTTGAAGAAACCTTTGGTGAAATTGTGACTTTTCCATTAAACAAACATGGATTCATTCATTTTAGTTGAAAGTGGAGCAAACATTAAAACAGCTTTGGCTTCAAGATTCTGAAAAGCTGAGGAAGTTTTGCCACTTTGAGGTCAAATTCAAACAGAAAAATAGTTTAAATATATAAATTGTTAGATTTTTTTCTGAATACGACAATTGTGTGTGTGGGGGGGGGGGATGTTTTATTTTTAATTTATGTACAACTGACTTTAAATAAATGCCACTGCAAGATAAACATTATTATTATAACAGCTTACTCGTATTTTCATGTTGTGGTGACAGAGTTAATATTTGAATTTGCATTTGTTTTTCTGTTGTAGCTGTACAGTGTACTGAAAGGTGCTTTTATATATAATATAATTATATATATATATTTTATATAATGTATTTATAGAATACAATTATCTTTATTGTCATTATACAGAATGTACGAGAAGAATGAGGAGCTACTCTCTTTTTTTAGTGCAAGGCAAATGCAGACAAGCTAGGTTCAAAAATAGAAAATGTATATATAGCTTAGTGCAAATAAACAAATATACATCTAACAATATAGAATATTAAAATAAAATATATCACAGAGAGGTGACTATTGCACATTGTTGAAATAGATCTTGCTCAATGGACAAGAGTCTACACAACGGCAGCTGTGGTGATATTAATATATTACACATCATTATTATATTTTTAGTGAGATCAGTGCATATGAGAGTTTATAAAGGTTATGGCCCTTGGAAAGAAACTGTTTCTCAGTCTGTTATTGTTAATATAAATTTAAAGGAACATTTATAAAAATGTATATATAATAAAACAATTGTAAAAGCATGTTTTTTTTTTTTAAAGCTTAATAATCTTCTGGATGTTTGTGTCACAAAAAGATAACTGATCCTTCACCGGGAGTATTCGTGTTGTTTTGTAAAGTAAAACTAGCAACAAAAAAAGAGAAAGAAATTAGGAATACACATCTAATTTTTACTCAACAGATTGAGTTGATTAAAACCGGAACCAGTCTGTTTAAAGCTTAAAGCTTAATCTGTCTGAGTTTATTCCCTCCCTTCTTCCTGTGAGTGAGCAGCTACTGTTTCCATCTTCGGCTTTGACTAAATTAGATCCTTGGTCCACACGTTCTAATCGGCGTCGGCTAATGATAGGGCTCTTTCCAGGAATTTCTTATCTGATGAATTCTTCAGTCTCTCATGAGAAAACCTCCCGAGCGCAGGAGGAAGAGGGGCAGCAGAAGTCAGAGGAAGGATGTGATTTAATGAGGTGCTGGAGGGAAACCCCGAGTCAGTCTCTCAACTGGGAAGTCACTGTTTTGCAACTTAAGCCTTTTCTTGCAAGAAAAAAAAACCTCTGCAGAAGTTCATAAACTGAAAAAAACAATAAGAACGAGGACACAATACTGATTTTTTTTATTCTATAATGACATAATAGCACAGATGAGATAGTTTCCAGAAGTAATAATATAACCAACTCTATACAAACATGGCCAGTTTTCCCATGCGAGTTGAATTTGATTTAAATGTTGAACATTCGGGGCTCTAATACGGTGACTGCTGCCCATGAGGACATACTTCTAATAAAATGAGCTATTTTCCCAGAGTGGATTTTACCTGCTGATGACTGCCCTCCTGAGGTTAGGGTGACAAGACACTTTGCCCCACTGTGGGTTATTTATGGAGTGAGTGGATTTAGCAGCTTCTGTGCCCTACTTAAAAAAAAAAAAAAGACAGAACGTCAGGACTGCAGAAAAAGAAACAAAAGGTATTTCAATGCCAGCTGAGATTAAATCCCAGACACTTCAGTTGTATTTTGAGCTTCCCAACATTTATTTTGTATTTAATGTTTGAAGGCTCGCTCCTTAATTAAATTTCTTTACTCGTGCGCGTGAATAAGCTAATATTTTACTTCTCTTTAGAAAGGCCTCTGCTTGTGCAATGAGTAAAAACTGATATAAAAAAGCAGCTAAATACAGATTTATTTGGAGATAAAGTAATACATCTACCAAAACCGTTAAATGCTAATTAGCGATTCATTCCTAGTGAAGGCACTTTAGTAATCAGATAAGTGATTAGACTCACTTTGCCTCAGGTGAATGTGAAAGTGTAATTGCGTAATAGAGTCTTAACACAGTAAACGCTTCCTCCTCTTAAATAGGAATGATGTCATCATTAAATTAAGCAGGCAGTAGGCGAACAGCAAAGTTTACAGAGTTAAACGTGGATGGAGGAGCAGCATAAAGACAAGTTGCTGGAATAAGAAATTGAAATTGCACCAATCCAGCATGAGGTGTAAAGACAAGATCCCGAGCTCCATCCGTCCTAATGGGGGAGGAAATACTTGTACAGTCATCTAGATACTTTAACGTTGTTCGCTTTATGTTTGAAGAACCTACGGTGAAGGCAAAGGAAGGTGTCAATAGTTGGACAGAACACGGAGTTTCTTTTTTTATTTGGACTTCTTGATGTCTGGCTCGACAATCTTCTGTCCGGTGAGGAAATGCCAAATGCCGCCCCGGTAGAACTCGTTTCCAAAAGAGTAGAAGAGAGCGTTGAAGAAGGGATTTGTCTTTGCAATAACTGGAAGCACCTACAAAAGATAAATAAAAGCATTTTCACAAGTTTTATTTTAATTTTATCCCTCCTTTTTTCCTGTCAAGAAAAAGTCATCGCTGATAAAAGAATATGGTGAGATGGTCTACTATGCAAACTAAAAAAGCACATTATTTTCTGTGCTTGACTGAATGAAATAAAATAAATGGCTCACCATCCGCAGTTTTGGGGAGATGAATGTCACATTTTCAAAGCAGGCGTAGATGCACATGAGGATGTAGGGGCCCCAGCACATCAGCATTACCCTCATGGGCAAACTGGTGTTGAACTAGAAAATTAATTTCAGTGTGTTGCATGTTACAACGTGGATTTGGTGTACACGATATGAAAATAAAACAGAAAATTGTTTTGTCGTGTTTACCAAAATCATTGTGTCCAAAACTAATAAAACAGCAGTTTAGATTCATTACAGACACAAGCACAGTTTTAAACTTGTTTAGCTCTTAATTACTCAATAAATTCCAGTTTGTACACCTTCACGCGAGTCTTTCCAAATTAGTTGTGGCGTTCCACAGGGTTCTGGGCTTGAACCACTACTATTCTCATTGTGCATATTTCCAAAAGTCGCAGCCCCGTTCAATACCAATCTTTTTTTTTGTTGTTGTTGGACTGCTACTGGATGCCCAATTAGTTCCTAGAAAAAACTAACAGCTGATTCAAAAGCTTCAGTCAAGAGTACAAACTGGTTTTGCAACAAAATGATCAAATTTCTCAAAAGTCGGCCTGCTTTTATATTGGCTTCATGCAAAAATTAGAACTGAAATAAAATTCATACGAATAACATAAACCCCTAACAACAATCCTCTGTCTTAGCTCTCCTTCCTTATTTATATTGTTTTATTTGTTATAGTTTTTCATATTGCTTAACATTACTTTACATAAAAAGCTAACATGATGGTTTCTCTTCATAATGTGTAATTAATGAGACAAAAAAGGGGCTTAAAATGTTTTGAAAGAAACCTTAAAAAGGTTTACTGATGAATTTAAAAAGACTGAGGTATATTTACCCTGTGATGGTGGACCTTTTTAAATTGTTTGTGGATGGAATTATAACATGAAATCAGGGTGATGGATGGGAACATCAGGTAAAGCAACACCAGACTTATCACGTAGGTGATATAATCCCTGTCAAAAAGAAAAGTGACACAATTACAAAGGTTTTAAAACTGCTGTTCATCAGAGCACATAGCTCATTATAATCCTGCAACTCTACCTGTCTCCTCTGGTGTAGTCCAGCGTGCAGCACGTCCTCATTGGCTCAAAGTCATAGACGCCCCATCCCATGAGTGGAAGAGCAGACCAGAAGATGGCGAGAATCCAGATTAGGCAGCATATAGTTACTGTAGTGCTCCAGAAGAGCTTTTGTCCTACAGAACACAAACAGTTTGAATTCGACTAAGAAGTTTGATTATGATGTAAAGATAATATAATCATCAGAAAATTGTTTTTCAGTAACTAATTATACATTAATGTCCAATTTCATAAGTTTTCCCCCCCAAAAAATGTAAGAAAATAAGAAGCAGCAAGTGCATATTCTACCACAGAACATACCAGATTATTGTTCGGGTCACATAATTAATGTTTAATTAAATTTATTTTAGTTTAGTTTATTTATAAAGAACTAATCCTCAACAAAAATCCTCTCAGGGCACTTACAAAGTAATCTTACACAACTCAGAAGACCCACTTACATATGGTTATTTTTTCTCCCAAAGAATGCGATTTTGTGAAAAAGAGCTTCTATTTTCATGCACTCTAGCAAATCTATGAGGGAAAACCTAATCCTGTCAAGCCTACTAATACACTGCAGAAATGCATGAATTCATCCATTGTGATTATGTGGGAACTGGAGTGTTCACATGCAGAGAACAGGCCTCTTTGCAAGCATTAAATGCATTAACTTGTCGTATGACTGCAGTGGACGTGCACTGTTATTCCTTGTTCAAGGAAACCATATATTTAGTATAATGAATATTATAATTGTAGCTTTGCATACAATTATTTTGTTTTACTAAAATAAAAACAATTTTGAAGTATGTAGCAAATTAAAAAAATTTTTTTTTGCACTATCCTCTTTTTGGGGCGGTGCTTGATCACACACGGCCTTTATTTAAAATAGCTGGGTTAAAAGAACTCCTTGACATTATCTTATAAAGCATGAGAGCTTTTGATGTATAATCCTCACAAGAGACGTTACAAATACAAATAGACATTGTTTTCATGACTACATTCTTGACTAAATTATGTTCCTCAGCTGAGCATTTTGTACTGGACTTTAAATGTGCTCAATAAGCCCATTTGTAAGAACTGGAAAAAATACCATAGTTTCTGCCGTACACGTCGCTCCGCCTTAGAAGTCGCATCAGTTCATATCTGTCTAATAAAGTGGGAAAATCAATAATTATGTTGCTTCGCCGTAAACGTCGCATCTATTATGCGTCACTGCTGACACCCCGGAAATGTGGGCCGGTGTGCTAAAAATTGATGGGCTGCCAAATGGCGGCCGTGGGAGCATGCACGGGAGGACTTTAACAAGAATTTAACAAGATGAACACTTAAAAACTATTATTTGTTTGCTCGAAATTACAGTAAATGTGCGTCTCAGTCTAACGTTTGCTTAATAAATGCACTTTAATGGTCAAAACATCTGTATTTCAAAAATAGTTTTGCTGCCTCGATGCTCCGTGAATGCGCAGCGGACGAAAAAAGGGAGGAGGAGCGCGGCTCGTTTCTCCACAAATTAACAAGAAAAGCACCTAAACAATTAAACAATTATTTGTTTGCTCGAAATTATAACAAAGCTGTGTCTCAGTCTAACATTTGCTTAATAAATGCACTTTAATGGTCAAATTAGCTGCATTTTGCCGGGGTGGTGCAGCTGTTTTGACGGTTCCAAGCAGCGAGCAGAATGAAGGTGGGGAGACTGTGGCAGGGAAAATGTGTCATTAAAAGCTGGTGAAGATTCTCAGTCATCTGGGACATGGCAAATTCAAAAAAGTTCAAGAAAAACAAAAAAACAAAGAATAAAGTATAGTTTAATAAATAAAGTCCAGTTGTTGTTGTCTTGAACTTTTTTGAATTTGTCATTATAGCCACGTTTACCTATTACATGATACAATGGTATGCCATACATCTACTACTACTCTGCTGCCATCAAGTGGCTGAAAATTGTACTGCTCAATTTTTTTTCAGTCAGAATTAATAAAAACGGGTCATATCTCAGCCAAAAAATGGTTTATAAATACGGGAAAAAATCCATAAATATATCGCTTCAGCCTATAAGTCGCAGGGCATGTAAATTATGCAAAAATGTGCGACTTATAGGATGGAAAATACGGTATTTGGAGGGTTAACATTTAATGATAAGTTCATAAATAATAATAAAAAAAACTCATTCGACAGAAAGGTTCTGAATAGAGCTCAATAAATAGCAAAACTTTGAAAATGCATAGAATAATTTGTGATGGACCAAGTAAATAACTAAATACCATAATTTTCAGACTATAAGGAACACTTAAAATCCTTTAATTTTCTCAAAAATCAACAGAGAGTTTTGTAATCCGGTGCACCTTATGTATGAAAACAGACCCATTCATTGATATTGCACCTTATAATCTGGTGCGCCTTATAGTTAAAAAAAATATGGCAAATGCATTTCTTCCAGTCTTTGTAATTTTTGCCCGGGATGGAAAATCCAACCTAAATTTAGATTTTTGGACATTTCCTTTCCAACTTACTAGTGCAGTACTGGTGATATCTGTCCCAGGCGATTGCAGCCATGAAACTGAGGGAGGCCAAGACTGAAATCATTCCCTGGAAAGCGTGATAACTACAACCATCTTGACCAAATGGCCAATACCTATAAGATAAAAAGAACTGTGTTATAGTCCACAACACTGTCTTTTTGCATTAAATTAAACAGCAGTACAATATCTCAAAAGAATAACCAGTAATTTAAAAAAAAAAATTTTCCCCAATGATCCATAAATAATGCTTTTTTTTTTTTTACAATCTCATGACAGCCTACATCTGTTGGCTTAATATAAATGTTCAATGCAAGACCATGTTCGAGTAGGTTTATTTATAAAAAAAAAAAAAAAAAAAATCAGAATACCTTTGGATATATCTGTTTTTTGTAAATTTGCAGACGTTTTCCATAAATTTGAAGCTAAAATGTTATAACATCAAAAGAAAAAGAAACATAACCCCCTAAAATGTCATTTTTAAATAAAAACATGATGTCTGAGTCATATTGCTTGTCTCTCTGTGTGTTAGTAAAAACTACATTTTTAGGTCAGTATAGGTGGAATTTAATTATAACCAATAACTCCAGATGTGTTTGATGTCAGTAATCCAAATGATAACACATTAGCATTAGTGTAGTCCTTGGAGGCCACAGTCCTGCATGTTTAAGTTGTTTCTCTGCTCCAACACACCTGATATGAATCAGTCAATCACATCAGTTGACTCGGTCAATAAGCAGAACATGAAGAGGCCATGTTGATAAGTGAGAACTGGTGCTCAAACATTTTACAGGTAAAATAAAGGTTAAATAAATAAATCAATAATAAAGAGGCGATTCAACCACTGAATTAGGTGCTGGAGCAGAGAAGCGAGTAAAACAAGTGGAAGAGTGGCCCTCGAGGACCAGGATTGGACACTCCTGCAATTGGTAATTTCTAAAAGATTAGCTTGTGAAACTTGTTAATCTGAACAAAGATGGGCTAGATAAAAAGCAAAAGTATCAAATACTAGCTAAAAGTAGCAGAATTGAAAACTAGTACTTATTACTAGTTATTACTACTTATTAGCACTTTGAGATTTTTGTTAATGAAAAGTGCGTTACAAATTAAATTCATTATTATTATTATTATTATAGTAAAAACTAAAATCGGTAAAAATAGATCAAGTTTGCAGAAGCAGCTTTCAAAGAGAATAATGTATTAATATGGGGAAAATATTTGTAAGAAAACAAAAAAAGTTTAATATTTTTAAAGGTAGGGTGGTGGTTGCACAACATTTAGCAAATTTTTGAACAAGTGTTCAGTTCTTGTTTCAATAGTGTAGAACTGGCGGCAGATGTGATTTCCTGCATTTTGGTGTATTTTAACAGATTGTTAAACATCTACGTGCTTGTAAAATAAAAATAAATAAAGTTGTTTTTTTTTGGGGGGGGGGGAAGCATCGCTTTCTTGGATCCCCGGGTCTCCGGGGACCCCAGTTTGGGAACCACTGATCTAAATTAGATGTCACGGTGGCGTGCATCCACATCCCAATGGTGGTGTGGGGTGGGGTTGTGCGGGCTTGGTGGATGGGGCGTGCCAAAGGTTTTTTTTGCCCAGGGCACTAAACAGGCTAGGACCGCCCCTGACAGTGTGAGAGGCGTTGCATGTCCATCACAGGGACACATAAAGAGACAACCATCCATGCTCACACCTAGAGACAATTCAGAGTTACCATTTAGACGTATATGTAGGATAATAACGCTTTCTTTTGATTGTTACCTGAGATAGCTGGCGTAAGCAGCTGTGAGCCCATTTAAATTCAAACTGATGTCGGCCACAGCGAGGTTGAACACAAAGAAGTTACTGGGGGTTCTCATCTCCCTCACATTGAGGAAGGACAGGATGCTGATGATGTTGAGGAAGAATCCCAGCAGGCCTGAAAGCATAAAAAAGTCAAGGGTTAAACCATAAATGTTACATAACTATATAGGTTCAGTTTACATTAGCACAACAAAACAGCATGCAAAGCTCATTTTTACATGGCAGACATAAAAAAAATAAGAATGCATTGTAAATACCTTTACATCTTCTGATGGCATGCAAGCTGTACCTTTTGGAAGAGACTTGATTTTTAATGTTTGGATCAACTTACCTGCAACAAGAAGTGCAGAGCCGAATGCAAACATGTCAAAGTCCGTGAATCCCTCTGGTAACGTGTAGGTCCCCATGTCTGCGTGCACAAAGACTCTGCAAGTGTTTCTGCTCGCTGCGTGTCACTCTTATTTTAAAGGCTCTTTCACGTGAAAAGGCATAAAGAGACTAATCTCAGTTAAACGCCTCCCCTTTTCTTTTTACAATCCTCACAGGAATGTCCCAGTGAGCACCCTCTACAGACTCACTGCAATTTTATAACCACAAACAAACAAACAAACAAACTAAACTCCGAAAGTGTTTATTCTGCCAGCTGAGAAACGTGGATTTTAGATGCGACTTCAGGTCCTGTCGACGCCAAAGAAACTTGAGTCCGTCTAAATGCATTATGGGAAATGAAGTTTTTTTTTCTTTCTACGAGATGGCCTCGCTCACTCAAACTTTTCTTAAAGCCCTAAATGATTTATTTTAAATAGTTCAGTGAGTGACAGATGAGCTAAGCTTTGGAAGGCAGAATGTTAAAGAGATGGTCTGGTTATTTATGAAGTAATGTTCTGTCAAAACGTTTTTAATGCTTAATATTAATAACCAAATCTCCCCCCCCCCCCACACACACACAAAATACTTACATGTGCATCCTTTGTGATTGTCAATTGTTGTCGTCATCCACTGTTGTCATCACTCTTCAATATTCAGGTCTCCCTCGTAAATGAGTCCTCATGGCCCAATGGGGCTAACCTGTTTAAATGAAGGTTGAATAAAAGTTAATAACTATCTAATGGATCACTTTAGAATTGTGCAGACTGTCCCTTTAAAGATAACACGAGTCTGTGATATTATATGCAAAATTAGTTTGTTTGCAAATTTATAATTTTAAAAAGGAGCACATTAAAGGATAGTTTGGACATTGTAAATTGGAATTATGTGGAAAAGTTTTGAAAAATGAATAAATTATTTGCTGTATACCAATCTCTCTCTCTCTCTCTATCGATCTATCAATCTATTGATCTAATATATATATATTTAGACTGTGGTCACTGACTGTATCGGAGACAGCAGACAGAGCAGTGTTTTTACATTTTGAACACTTGAATGTAGCGAAGGTCAGTTGTTGCATAACTAAGCATGAAAACTGTATGATGGAAAACGTGTCATGATAACATAGTTTTACTAGTTTGGGCTGAAAACTTGTAAATTATAATCTGACTCCATAACAACCGCAAACTGCAACGTTTGTGGTTGAGGTAAATAAATAGATCCTGTTGTTGCAGTGACAACAGGATTTATTTATTTACTTGATGATCTTGATATAAAAAAAAAAAAAATGGAGGACAGCAGGGAAGTGTGTCTGTCACCGCAGCTTGAACCTTTTAAAATGTAACATTTGTGTACCGTTTGATGGATTCACTAATCTCTCGCAGATTACCACAAACTTATTAACTATGCACTGACAATCTCAATGGGTTTATAATTCCCTTTACTGAAACAGCAAATATTGTCCTGACTGAGGGCTCAGATCTCCTCAAATTCTGCAGAGAGCTGCAGGGCTCATGCTTCATCTGCTGTCAGTCACATGGCACAACAGGAATGTTTAGATCTCCTTTTGGTGCATACGATGTGGGAAATGACGTCTGCTAAGATCCAAACACAGGCTCGTTAGTTTGCTGGATGCTGAGCTAACCAGGCGAGGTCATGCAGGAACATAAAGCTGCACGGTGACACATTTCGCAACTCAAAGATTCAGAAACCCAATCTGTTAAGCCACTTCAGCAGATTGGGGGTGAAGCTAAAGCCAGTTTGAACCAGCCTAATAGAGAACTTTTTATTACATTTTGATTATTAGACCTTTTATTTATACCGGTTTATTCCCATTGAGCCTCAACGACTCATTTACAAAAGAGACCTGTTACATACACTATACAGGCAGATGAGAAAAAGAGGACACGAGGGTGGAGGAAGCCCCAAAAAATCATCTCACACCATGTTCTGGCTGGGAAACAGTGCAAAAGATGCAAAAAAAACCCTCGTAAATAGTAAATATAGCGGCAACATACAATAACATCATAATACATTTCTGCATAGAGGTCGACAAAGGCGGTGAGTTGTCCATAAACACTCCAGAAAGTTCCAAAGTTCTGATAAGATGGCACAGTGTGTATCAGCATCATGGTCCTTATAAGGCCACAGATGTGGTTTTTTTTTTTTTTTTTGGGGGGGGGGGGGGGGCATAAGCTTCTAGCTTATGTATCCTCCAGGAGCAATTTGAGATAAGTTGGCCTGTTCAAGGCCAGCGGGGAGGCCAAATTCAGAGAACGAAATTCAGAGAACGAATGCAGAGGACTCATGGATGTTGAGAGGAAAACTTTGGAATGAAAGTTCATGAATGTTGTTTTTTTACTGATTCAGTTTGAAATTTGAATTCATAATTTCATAATTTAAATTAATTTAATAATTTAGGTCTGTGCCAGTCTTAAGAGATCAATAATCAAACTTATTTACACCTTTTCACCATTACATTTCAGTACAAACCTAATTTAAAGTACAAATCTGCTTCTCCACTTGATCTGAAGTCCCTGACTAGTAGTTTCTGTAATGTGGACCTCGTAGTGGTTAAACATTAGCCCATTGTCAAATAGTTTGTAACTCCAAGTTAATCTTTTGGTTTTGCAATGGCACAAAGGTTCTTCTGTTGCAGCTGAGCTGAGAACTAATGTAAGCTGACGCAATCAAAGCGGGTTTGTTTATTCATATGAACAGTGGCAACACTGGAAACCAGTCAGTTCCTGCTCCAGGATGGTGGCATTCTGGGGGTCATTCTATTTTTTAATAAATTTCCAACTTTTCCTCAACAAACGCTTTAGATGGAAAATTCCAACGAATGAGATTTAGAAGATTTGGCTGCCTGTGGGTCAATATTTCACACCTTTCTTGAGTTTTAAACTGCTGCCTTTTAAAATTTTTGGGAAATGGCTGATCACAATCACATGGTAAATTACAGCATTTTGTAAATAAAATGGCTTATTAACTCGGAGCTTTGTTGTTCTCGACGTGTTGGTCTTGCATTTGCTGCTTTTATGAGGTCCAGACAAACAAGTTTTATGATGTTCTGCATGGCAGATTATGAGTGGTTGTTCATTTAATACAAAAATGTTACTTTAATAAAGTGCATCGCTCTGTCTTCTCCAAATACATCATTATACTTAAACCAAAAAAATTACAGCTTCTGTATCACTTTTCCCAACATATCTTAATATACTAATCATTAAATTATCAATCCACCTAAAATCGAGTGTCCTGTTTAATGGGCCAAACTTCTTAAAATGTCCTTTTTATGTGTCTTACAGAATTTTAAAAACCTCATCAAGTGATGTCCGGATTAAGTCAGGACTAGACTCATGTAGTGATCAAAATGCTGATCCTTGATGCAAATTCAGTTGTTAAGTGCTCCTTTTTAAACCAATACATGGAGCACTGGTTGCACTATAGTGACGTGACACAGACAGGTGCAGGGCGAGAGGTTTTACTGTCTGGGACAGCCCAGTTAAAAGAAATGAAACAAGGGTGCAATAATAAGGGACAGAGAGATGAGTGGATTAAAGGATTAGAAATCCCCCTCTGCCCCGTCCGAGGCCGTCATGTCTCTGCACCTGCAAACTTCCCTCAGGGCCTGTGACAACACATGCGTCAGTAGCAAACTGTGTCACAATCACACATGTGTTTACAACATAGATGCATGGAGGCTGTGTTTTTTTTACACATCAGAAGAGACTATGATGAAGTATTTTTTATTCTGTGTAATTTGTGGTGCATGAAGAAACGGAGCAGTTTTTGAAAATATTGGTACAAATGTGTTTAAGTTTGAAGGGTTTTATTTTTGTGTTTGAGTGGATTTATTATTTACAAAATACTTCAAGTCTTTATATATATAAAAAAAAAACATGTTAACCTTGAGCAATTAAAGGATAAAAAAAATATATAAAATTTACCACTTAAAGATAATCATTCTGTCACCATGGCTTCTACATTCGACTGGATTATGAACATTTTAATGGCGTATTTACTCTCTACTGCCATCTGGTGGTAATTTATCTCATTACAATTTTCCTTTGCCAACAGCAGTGTGAAACATGGAAGTGCTGAACAGGAGCTTAGACATCCACATGTTTGTTTTGGTACTATATTTTCTGAAATGTGTCAGCACTAAAACAAATCTAAACCATCTTTAGATTTGCATTTTTTAACCTACATAAATAAAAAAAATACTCAAAAATATTCATAGCTGGTAGATTTATGTATTTATGTTCATGCCTATTTGAATGCAACCACTACCAGACTTAAGTTGTAAATTGTTAAAGTATTTTTGTCTTGTCACTTGCAACCAATCACCATACAGTTTTGGAAAATATTCCAGCTTGAGCACAAAAGTGAAAACTACGCAGCCTATCAGGTTCCAGGAAAGAATGGTCTAATCGTGTGAATGAAAATAACCCAAGTCCTCCTCTAATCCCTGCCTCTATCCTTTTTTATCTGAGGATTCAGAACAGTCGCAGCAGTTGGAGCTGTCAGCCTGCGAACTACAACAATGCATCCGATATTCCCTTAGGCCACATTGCATTGCCTACTTTTTTAAATTCGTAGTTTAGTCCTGCATAGTTTTAGTTGCCTGCAGAGGGGGAACAATGATCCGACACTTTGCTGCTGCTTTTTGTTTGGCTTTAGTTTTTCTTCCTCTAATGAGCACTTCATGCCCTTCACAATGCAGCTGCTTCTTTCACAAACTAAGCGATGGATCTAAAGCAAGGTAAGTCATTTAGATCTTGCGTTCTGTGTGTGTGTTTTATTGCATGCAAACCTATTTCACTGCTTCATTCTGCTATTCAGCTACTCTATAGAAGAGGCGATTAACTCCGGTTGGCTCTTTAATCTCTTTTGCTTGTTGCTGAAGAATAGCTTTCTGTCGTTTTCTCAAACTGGTTTGCTGAATTATTTTTTTTTTTTAAAGCACAAAACACTCCTAGTTTTGTTGGGAATCTATTTTAATTTTCCCCTCAAATAAAAAACAACAACTCAATATTTATATTTTTTAAAATAATTTTTCTCTTGCAGGAGTGTGCTCTGTAATGATCCAGAGATTACTGTGGTACCTCCAAATTTCCCTACTGACACATCAAAACTACGTATAGAAAAGACAGCAATTACACGGATTGCCAGCAACAACTTCCACTACCTCAACAGTCTGGAGTTCCTCTGGATGTCTTTCAATTCACTCAACTCACTGAATGCTGACAGTTTCCGGGGTCTCTACAACCTGGATGAGCTCAGGCTGGATGGAAACTCCCTCACCTCCTTCCCCTGGGAAGCTCTGATCGACATGCCAGCTCTGAGGCTCCTTGACTTGCACAACAACAAGATCTCCACTATCCCAGCCTCAACCACCATGTACATCAAGAACATCACCTATTTGGATTTATCCAGCAACAGTCTCACCACAGTTCCTGCTGAAGTTCTCACAATGTGGCTGAGTGTGAAGCCTACTCAAGACTCGGATACCTCCAAACTAATTCTGGGTGAGGATGATGCTGTGACTTTCTAGGATGTTGGAAAGTTTCCTTTTAGAGCTCCCTTCTCTGAATTAAGGATTACCTGTAGTCTTATTATAGTCGTTCTGTGCAGCGTGTTGACATTCTCTTTAATTCAACTCTCTGCTGAAGTTTCTTTATCTTAATTTTTAACCTTAACTGTCAATTTTGTTTCCTCTGCAGGTCTTCATGACAACCCATGGCTGTGTGACTGCCGACTCTATGATCTTGTCCAGTTTCAGAAGTCTCCCTCGTCCTCTGTAGCTCTCATTGACACCAGGTTGAGATGTGCTGATCCAGAAAGCCTGTCTGGAGTTTTCTTTACTGAGGCAGAGCTCCAGAAGTGCCAGGTCCCACGGGTGCACACGGCTGTGGCTCGTGTTCGGAGCTCATTGGGTAACAACGTTTTGCTACGCTGTGGCACCGTTGGAGTACCAATTCCAGAGCTGTCCTGGAGTCGCGCTGATGGCAAGAAAATGAACGGGACAGGTGTGTTTGTACTAAAATTAAACGTGAATTCATTTTTATACAAGTCCAATTTCAGTGAGAGAAAACATGTATGGTAATTTCTTTAACATTTTGGGCGCCTTTGTTTTGACTTGACAGTTCAAGACGAGATTTCCAAAGAAGGCATCATTTGGTCCATTCTGAGTGTGCCTGCTGTGTCCTACAGAGATTCTGGAAAATATGTGTGCAAGGCAACCAACTTTGTGGGCACTGCGGATGCCATCATCTCTTTGGTCATCACTGATTCCATTCGGTCAGAGGAAGCAGTTGGTGGCGTCGCTGTAAGAGGCAGAGCGAAGAAGCCTGGTGGCATTGGAAGAGCAGCATATCAGGAAAAGCTCATTGCTAGATACGTTCCACCACAAACCAGCACTATGGCCCAGCCCATTATCGAGCCTCTTAACGGAAAAGGTGTGACTGGGAAGTATGAGATTGAGAGCTACAGTGTCTCTAATGGTGCATCTAAGGGGCAACGCAAAGCATCAAACCCCAGGAAGCCAGTGGAGGTGGGTCAAAATGCTTTGGGAAACCTAGCTGCCAACGCGTCATCGTTACAACAAGTTCCAGAGAAGAGGGTGGTGCGTTCAGTGAAGGTCATTGGGGACACTGACAATACGGTCTCGTTGAATTGGCGTGCTCCTACAGCCACAAACACCACAGAATTCAGCGTCTTGTACGCCGTGTTTGGTGAAAGAGACATGCGCCGCATTAACGTTGGCGCTGGAAAGAACCGGATCACCATCGAAGGGCTTGTGCCAAAGACAAAGTACATTGCCTGCATTTGCGTCAAAGGCTTGATTCCGAAAAAGGAACAGTGTGTAATCTTCTCAACCGATGAGGCTGCCAGTGCCAGTGGCACTCAGAAGCTCATTAATGTGGTGGTGATAACTGTGGCGTGCGTGATCGCCGTCCCCCTGACACTGATTGTGTGCTGTGGGGCGCTGAAGAAACGCTGCCAAAAGATGTTTGGGCGGCAATCAAAAGAAATGCAGGACTCCTACGTGACGTTTGAAACTCTTGGTCCTGGAGGCAAAGCTAAAGGGATGGAGGGCGAGTATCTGACCAGGCTTACTCCTGATGAATCTAACAGGCTGCTGTCGGCAAGGTCCAGCGTTGACTCAGAGGCCATAGCAAGGACTGAAGGGCCGCCCAGCGAGTACTTCTGCTAAACCTGTTAAAGTGCCGAAGTGCTCAGAGACTCAAAACAAACATTTTAGATGTCTTCAGAGAACACTGATGCCTCTGTCACCGATGGATGAGTGAGATTATTTTTCAGCCTTGAGAAGAAAAAAAAAATCTGCCTTTTTGTTTTGTTGAAAGCAGAAAAATAGAATGATAATCACGACTTGGTTGTAATCTTGATATATACACTAACAAATAATCTTTCATGTCATGCACTTTTAAGTCATGTTTTTACCAATAAAACTGTCTTGATGCCCTAAAGTCTCATGAATCCAGTGACCTATGTCTTTTTTTTCCTCCTAATTATAACTTTTGCTTTGAATTTAAATCTTTATTTAGAATTGAAAGAGTTTAGAACAACAGAAATAATTTTAGTTTGTTTTGTATGTCAGTATAATATATTTGTGCCAGGTTTACTGTGGGCTCAGAAACCTAAAATACAATGCATTTTATATTGTATTAATATTTCTAACCTTGAAAACGTGTATCTACTGACTGAAAATAAATATTTTTATATTAATTTATGTTTACAAGTATTTTTTTTCTTTGCATATAAAACGTGTATATTGTTTAAATTGAAATAATGACAAATTTTAAGATAAACGAGTTCATAAATTACTGTATAAAAAACCCTCTTTGAAACTCTCTTTGAAATTTAATTTCCTATTTTAAGTATTATTGTGATCCATGCAGGCAAAAACTTTCCTCCACATTTTCATCGCAGTGTCACTTTATTATTTGATCCAACTTAAAATATGTCCCACAAAAAATAATTTATCTGTCATTCATTTAGAAAAGATATTCATATTTTCCAGACAACAAAGTCTTTGAGATTTAAAATAAATCTTAACCTTATTAACATCACCACACACACATTTTTTTGTTGCTACATTTCAGAGCAAAATCATAAAAAAAGTGTGGATTTGTATTAAATTTGGTTTTGACTATCACATATTGTGTCTAATACATGTTTTGCAATCAGCTAAAATTTTTATTTATTTATTTTTATTTATAATTTATTTTATAGTGATGTTCACATGAGTTTTTCAAAGAGTAGAATTATGAACAATTATTAAGAAAATATAAAATACATTTGATGTCACATCTGAACTATGAGCACCAGAAAAAAAAATACCCTCAAGGTGTTCCTTAAATGAGAAAAAGCCCTCAACTATTTGAGCAGACTGGACTAAAATTAAAAATACCTACAGTACATAAACAAATGTTGGCTTGATCTCATTGGGTTTTAAAGTGAATTGTACTTTTGACAAAAGCTCAGTTCTAAAAAAAAAAACAATTATACAGTGAATTTATGTTGCTGTTGTTGTTTACCTTTAAACTTGTTTCAAATGCAGACTTGGCCATCCTGAAAGACAACCAGTGTTCGGATTATTGAGGTCAGATTACCGTCCTTCCCAGACATCTGTCTCACCACAACCCTCCCTCTCTGCACCACTAAGCCTCGGAGGCTCCGGCCCACTTACCACAGATGGACCTCCCATCATGACAGTGCTGCTGCTTTAGATGGGCGCAAATAAATTGAATTAGACTGATATAAAGTATTTTAGAGCCACACCTGAAAGAAGAACATTAATACTATCAAATTTACAAAACTCCATGACTGAATATAATATAATATTTATGTGACTTTTATCAGATCAGAATGTTGTTTTTATTTTTTGAAAGTGGACCATGGTTATAAATCCACCTTTCCCTTGTCTAATTAAGCGTTGGCGTCAAGGAAGATTAAGGTAATAGGCTTTCTTCCACGCAGCTGAAAGGCAGGTTCAGCTCCCACATGTCAGTTTCTCATACTCATCCAGGAACATGGATGTGCTTTGTGTTGCGTTAGGCGTCTCTTTATTGTTCGATATCATCACCCTGGGATATTCAAATTGCCTGTTGGGTTGCTCCTGCACAAATGACAACTTGGGCAGGTAGGACATCGTTGAATCTATAGAAACCTTTAAAGACTGGTAATTAATTATTCAGAACTTGCACTGAACAATCAAACTGTGATGTAACCTGCTAGGAATGTGTTTAAACCTGAAAAATTGTTCATAAATTTTGGACTATACTGCGTCTATTACATGAGTAGCTGTGTATAATGTATTCACCTTTATGCTCTCTCGTATGTTTTGTATTCCCTTCTAGGTCTTTACTATGTATGGAAACCTCCATGGGACATATCCCAGACGACATCCTTGAAGATTTCACAAAAATCCGAATTGAAAACTGCCATCTGACCGAGTTACCTCAAGGTTCTTTCTCTCGAGCTAGTGCCTTGGAGTTTCTGTGGTTGAATTTCAATCAGATCACCTTGATGAACATCAAAAGCCTGGAGGGTCTTGCCAACCTTACTGAACTGAGGCTACAAGGGAACAAGCTGACCTCCATACCGTGGACGGCGTTTCAAGATACACCCAAACTCAAAGTCTTGGACCTGAAGCACAACCGGCTGGATGTGCTACCTGAACATGCCCTGAAACAGTTGCCGTCACTGACCTACTTAGATTTATCCTTCAACCAGCTTACCGTCATTTCAAAAGAAGTATTTATTCACTGGCCACTTTATAGAAGTGCAGAGAAATCTTGGGGGAAGGAAGGACTGGTATCCAATGTGGTGTTGGCCCTGCATGACAATCCCTGGTTGTGTGATTGCCGCCTCAAAGGTTTTGTTGAATTCATCAGGGACGTCAGCCCTCCCATCATTCTGATGAATTCTTACTTGATGTGCGCAGGCCCAGACTCTAAGGCCAACAAGTTTTTCCACAAGATCCAGTTAAAAACATGCATGAAGCCCATGGTTTCTGCCCCAGAGACCAACTTGACTTTACCTCTTGGAGTAAAGGCTACTCTGACATGCACGGCGAAAGCGAGACCAGTTCCAACCATCCAGTGGGTGTACATTTTGAAAACCATCAGAGGATTTGCCTGTAAGTTTTTCCATTTTCTTCACTGCCATCTTGAACCTGATCTTTCACACAACCACGGCTAAAAAATGTTTTCTGATTTAAAGGCTCTCTTGCTTTTCTTTTTCTCTCTGCAGCTTCACAGACTCAGATAGACGAGGAGCTCGTCACCTCCCAGTTGGTGATCCCCTCTGTACATTTAGCAGACCGAGGGATCTACACTTGCATGGCCAACAACTTCATTGACAATTCTTCTGTCAACATCTCACTCAACATTGACTCACCCAACTCCTCTGCTCCTCTTCCTCCACTTGTCCCCATGCTGTCATCAGATGACAATGGCCACATCGACATTCGTATTGCCAAGCAGACAGTTTATGGCATCACCCTAGAGTGGCATGCTGTGACAGACAACCCTGCAGAAACATGGTTCACCATCCACTTTGGCAAATATGATTCCCACAAGAAAGACATGATCTACATTGGACCTGGAATCAACACCTACTCAGTCAGCAACCTGCTCCCTGTCACCAAATATGAAGTGTGCGTCACCCTGAAGAACAATCCACCCAGAGAGGGCCAGTGCATTGACTTTGTGACAGGAAGTGACATAAGTGAGTTGGAGCAGAGGGAGAGACTCATCCATATTATAGTGATAGTATGCGCCATGTTGCTGGCTGTTCCGGCTGGAATGTACGTGTGCACCACAGAGGCCAGATTCAGTTGCGTGGATCGATGTGTGCATCTATGGAAGATGCGCAGGTCGCGTGAAGAGAGCGCTGAAGGCACTGAGGGGCAGCAGACCTTCAACAGTCTGCAGGCGGCCAGTGACGAAGCACTGTGCAGGGACTCCAAGAGTAAACATACAAAGAGGCGGAAGTCTGAGGACAGGCGCAAAAGTGGAAGTGCCGCTTACCTCTACTAGAGTCAAATGTGCAAAACTGTGCATGTGTGACCTATTGTAAATAATTTTAGTCTTCATTGTAGCTCCAGTTTGTGCCTTCTTCATTTACAGATTTATCTTTGTATTGAATCCAAATATTTTCATCAATGGGGTAAATAAAATATTTTATTTTCCCCTTCCAACTGCAACGTTTGCTTAATACACTGTTTTATTTTAAATTATTAGTATGTACCACTTATCTTTTAGGGTACTATTTAGCGTTCGTTTCTTAGATCCTTATACAATAAACAGTTTCTTTTTATACTTTTTTTTGTTGTTGCTATTTTTGGGTGTATCTGGGACTCTGAGTACACAATTTCGTTCCACTTCATGTACCATGTGATGCAAATGACAATAAAGATACTTGAACTTGAAAAAGTTTGATAGTTGCTGAAAAATGTTGTAACCTGTTCTGATGCGGTTAGTGCTGTCACCCCACAGACAAAAAGGTCACTGGTTTGACTCTTGTATGTTGTCTCTGTACCAGGGGTGCCACAAAATGGGAGGGCACGAGGGTCAAGGGTCATTGTTGATTTTTGTTTGAATTATTTATGTAGTTCTGTGACAGAAATATTCCACAACTGGCAGCACAAATTGAAATTATTTTAATAGCAAATATCTTCCAAGCTAACTACAAATAATTGGCAATCATATTCTTACTTTATGTTACATTTGCCACCATCTTTATTGACAAACATGTATAAAAAAAATAGATTTTTTTTCTTAACATTTTTGCACACTCCTAAAAAATACTATTATTGAAAGAGGTCATACCAAAAATGATGTATTTATTTATTACAGACATTAAAATAAATCATGATTATATAAATTGATTGAGGGTTTATAGGACGTTCTGTTCCATTTGCTCTCAAAAAGCATTTCTTTTTTTTGTTGTCTTCTTCTTTTTACAGAACCAAAGCAAGCTGTTTTGCTATGAAAAACAACGTTTTTTGATGTGGATTAAAGAAGAAAACAAATGCTGAGACATCCTCGGATTTTCAGCTCAATCACTTAGAGGATTTGTTACATAAACAGTGAATTTAAACACGCGCTGGGAAGCAGATTAGAGTGATGTTTTATCTGAATCCTAGTCAGCAGGACATGATATTTCCATTTAATGACAACACAGATATGTATTTGTACAAATTGACGCTAAGTGAATTAAACATAATCATTTATGCAATGCTTTGAGCAAATGTGAAAGAGGAACCGATATATGTCTGTTTATTATAGGTTTTTACGTTACATTATAAAGCCCATATTTTGTAGCATTATGTACAGTATAATATTGTTCATTGGTGGTAAGCTTTTTGACCTATTTTTATAGATTTATTGTATTTATTCCTTCTGTTTCTGCTTTGCCATCAGGATAAATCCACACTCAACATTTCTGAGCTAATCAGCTAATAGTTCTTCTGTCATTGCCTTTTAGACCAGGGGTTCCCAAACTTTTCCATGCTATGGCCCCCCAAACAGCGTTAGGTTTAGCTTCTGGCCGAGGACCCGCTCGCAAACCCACAGACAATGTTACAAAATATAAAAAGAAATATCAACTTTTATAAAGTTTTAACTTTTATTCACTATATTAAATTAATTATTACAGCTGCTGAGCATAAAAATTTTATTAACTAACATGTTTTAAACACTCTCCCTTAAAAAACAACTTTTCAACAACTGTTGTCCAGAAGAACAAAACATTAGAAATCTAACCTCTCGCTCAAACGTGTTTATCTGGAAATGACTAGATTTCCCTAGTGGGCAATTTTTTATTATTATTATTACATTTTTTATTTTTGCTTTTTTTAATATTCTCTTCAGTAATCTCGGGCCCCCTGGCAGCCCCCCAGGGGGCCGCGGCCCCCACTTTGAAAAAAAACATTGTATTAGACCAAGGGTCTGACTGCAACCTTTATGATCAAAAGAGCCATTTTTACACCTTCATTCACTAAATTAAATGTGTCCAGAGCTGCAACAACTGTGATTATCAACTGGTGGCCCACGGGCCACTTTAGGTTTATTGTGGCCAGTAGGGGGAACATTCTAAAGCTAAAAATATCTAATGATTTTTAACATTTCTCAATATTATTACAATTTAAGATAAATGAAAAGATCAGATTCTTGTAAAGAGGTGGGGAAAGTTTTTTAAATTCAAAAACAAAACGAACTATGAGCTATGTATTTTTCTTATTGTGAAAAAAATAATTAAGTATTGATATAAATCAAAAGTTTGACAATTTGCAAAAGAAATGACATGAAACAGCTAAAACTAGTACTTTTTTAAAAACTGTTTGTATAACAACTGATAAAATTCAGTTTTACGTTTGTTTTGGTCAAAGCTTGAAAGCCGCTGCGGAGGAACCAAAGAGCCACATGTGGCTCTAGAGCTGCAGGTTGCAGAACCCTTTTTTAGACCACTGTTTGGGCTTATTCACAGGTAAGGACACTTTCAAGTTTTTAAATGAATCTCACATGGAAAACTATACTTAATTAGGGATATTTGCAAACTCAAAATAACAGCTTGTCATTTCACTAGTCAAAAAATGTCTATTTTGTTGTGCAAAAAAAAAGGTTCTGGAATTAGCTATTTAGACGTATTATTCAGGCTTTGCAGCACCTTATGTACCCAAACAACAAGTAACTGTGGTTGTATAGTGTTCTCACTTACCATTTTAAAATTAAAACAAGCAATTAAAAGTAAAAAATGTAAAAAGGAACAATCTCTTTCCAAACGACTTGTTTCATGCATGATAATTTTGAAAACATCATAACTGTTGAGCCGAAGAAGCGACTTTAGTTGTTTGATAAAATTTAAACTTGAAGTTTGAAGAATGTTTAAATTTGGAAATTAAAAATTCTCAAAATCTGTCCGCAGAGATTGGGAATTTCAAATTTATACAACTTTTAAAACTGTGTGAGATATTGTTTTTAGTATATACAGAAGCAAACAAACAAACAATGATCAGAAACATAAACAACTAAATAACATTAGAGCACAAAAGAGCAAAATACAATTGTAATTATTTTCAAATATTTATTTAAAATCAAGACAGTACAAAGACAATACAAATTCTTTGAAGAACCAGGCGTGTGAAATTCATATTCATGACATATAGATAATCTCAGCTCATTTAAATTAAATATAAGTTGAGATATATTTAGATACAAGTCATTTTTCACAGCAGTGACATTTTATTAGCCTATATTTAAAGGCATGTTTGAGTATGGAATGTAACAGTATTACAAACTAAATGTTTGATAATGGTGCTCGGGGTAAATACCTATTTTATATCAGTAAAAAAATGTAATAAATAAACATATCCAAGCAAGTTATCAACACCTGATGATGTGAGTCTAAAATGTTCAAGCGTATGACTAATTTTTTTTAACCAACATCCCACTAATAGAGCATTTCTTTGTATTTCCATTTGCAAGACTCAACTGGGAATTTTGCCATGTATACTCAAAATAGTAATGATAAAAAATGTTATACACTTATAATGAATTTATTTATATAAAAGCATTTTTCTAGAATTACTCAAACAAACATAAGCTGCTCATGTTACTACAGTGGCACATTGTATTCATACAAAGGAGCAACTTCTTAGCTTTGAAGCGCCTGATGTAACTTCATAAAAAATATTAACACACAAGTCCATTAGCACTTCATAACAAGACATTTTTTTTACCCCATGACCTTACAATTTAGCCGCATGCTTCGTAAAGCAACAAAACTATTTTTTTTTCTTAGGATTTTATCAGGTAAAAATGCTTTTCTCTATTGTAAACATCACAGGGTTGTAAGCATCACTCTTTTCAGGAAGTTATGCAACTTATGTATGGACACTAAGTCTTTGTAATCCTCTCCCTGGACAATTTACAGTGGCGCTCTCAGTGGTAATATGATATAATCCTCCTCAAGATGGCAGTGTGGTGAATTATCCGTTTGCACCATTTTCACTAAAACTAGGTCAGATGAAGATGCAATGCAGCTTACTTCTTTAACAACTTGTCTTATGATATACAATTTAGCAAAGCCCTAACATTTACATGAATAATCTCAAGGTAGGTTTGCTTATTAGTCATCAAGTGCAGGTGACATGGGTTAGGAGCAAAAGAGCTGCCGTAAGTTTGTGCTAACTTAACAATAACCCTGGTTATTCTCATGTATTTTCTGCTCTAACTTCATCTTGAGCTCAGATACTAAAGCAGAGCTGATGTTCCCCTCTTTGCGGCGGCCAGACTTTGTTTTCTTGGATCCTTTGGAGGCCAGAACTCCAGATATCGTTGGCACTGCTCGGGGTCGCTCACTGGCTCGAGTGTAAGATGGAGGTGGAGGAGGCAGACAAGGGGCAATGGGAGGTGGCGGCTTCAGCCTCGGACTGCCGGTTTCCTGCGATGAGCTGCTTTCTGGGTCGCTGATGAGGAACTTCCCTGCTGGGTTGGATAACTTGATAACAGGTATCTTGAAGTTCCATGTCTGCTTCTCCATGGGTTTCTTCTTAATGATACGTCTCACCGGCATGATCCTGTTTGACTTCGAGTTGCGCATGTACGTAACCGTAGAGATAAGAACCGTCACTCCTACCAATACAATAATGATAAAAGTGACCATACCTAGAGCTTTTAAAGGATTGTCCCTACTTTTCAGTAAAAAAGCTGCCATAGGCCCCTTGAGAGGAGTCTGTAAAAGAGCACAAATGGAATCAATTGAATCTGAGTTCAACATTTAGCGCAGCGTTTTTCCAAAAGCATGCAAGCACGAGTCATGGATGCGCAAAGCACTGACAGATGAGGCCCAGCCAACACTCTCTCGCTCACATCTGTCTTCTTCCGTCCAACAGAATGGGACTGCTGATGCAAAGCTAAAAGCTAAGCAGGATGCTAGTTGTTGGTAATGCATGTGGCTGTCTGACTGATGAAGTCTGAACAGTTTTATTTGAGCAGCACAATGGTGTTAGTGAAAAAAATGGAGACAAAATAAAACAAACAAAAAAAAAAATCTAAGTAAATCTCTTCTAGTCAGTTTGACAACTGTAGTTCAAGTCATCCTCTAGTCAAGGAAGTTGTTGAGTTTTTATAAAGTAAAACAGTTTTCAAGAAATCCAGGTACAAATAATAAAGTAGGTATAAAAACACTTTCAAAATGCTGAGGTGCTCTTTTTCAGACAACCATTCAGCTAATGTTTACAGCTGAATGGGGAAGTTCAGCCACTCCCACACCGAGTCAGTGTCTCACTTGACTCGGCGAACCACTTTGATATAGTTACTCTCTGGGTTGATTCGGGACTTTTTCACTGCGTTACAGTACAGGACTGTGGAGATGCAGACAGTCAGGGTAATGAGGGACGATATAACGCTGAAACAAATTCCAAAAACCGTCAGCGGACGCTTGCTAAGGTCCATGAAGTACGAAAACATTCGACCCTTGATCTGAAAAGCACGATCACAACACAGAAACAAAACCAAAGAAACCACTGGGTCATCATGAAGAATGACAGAATGAATGAAAACATGAAGGGTCAGAAACAAATACGGGAAGGATTACAAAACTTTAAAAGATATGCTGTTTGTCGGCTTATATCAAAATTTAAACTCAACAAGATAAAAATAAAAAATACATTTCTGCCACAAATCATATTTATTTATAGTTTTTTTTTGTTCAGTTGTTTTAAACAACGTGAACAAAGAGGTAGCTCCAATATTCATTTACCGCAGTTTTATTTCTACAGTAGTCCCTCGTTACTTCGCTGTTCGACTTTTGTGGACTTCGTGGTTTTTCAAAGTAAGATTAAGTAAGACAAGAAAAAATAAAAATTGTGCACGAAACACGATTGTCAACTTTAATATTACTCACATGAATGGGACAGTACGGGATACTGTACAGTAAAAAGTTAACGAAAAACATACTTCGGACAGGTGCCACCATTTTGTAGTTTTCTCTCAATAAGACTACACTGTATCACCACTAAAAAATGACTACATTTCCCAGAAGCCAACAGTGCCTCATCCAGAAGCCCCGTTGCCTTCTGTTGAAATGGAGGGAAAGTTTTTATCCAATCTGAAAAAGTTCGGTCCTTATTCATACAATAACTTTGGCGCCGAGCAGATGCAGAGATCCGCATGGAACTGACCAGAACTGGACCAGAACTGGCCATAACCGGACCTCCAGACTCATTAGTGAATCTGAGTGCCTCTAGCCCACGAGCCCTTCTGAGTGGGGAGGTGCCGCCCAGAGGTCCATCGTTCTCTCTGGAGCCCACCGGGACCCTTTTCATCTGGATTTGGGCTCGATCGGGACCACACTGGCCATCCGAAGGTCCAACTACCTCCAAAAGTGTTTTGGTGCGCAAGGGCTGCAGAGAGCTGACCAGAACCAGACCAGAACTGGCAGGGTAGGTCTGCCGGATTGGAACCAAGCTGCTGTTTTTGCAAAGCAGGTGAGTAAAATTTTGCAGTTCTGTGCAGTTAAAATAATGTAGGTTTAAGAGTTTACAACATTGCAAGATGGTGGGAAGGGTTTATAAAGCCTTACAATGTATAAAATACATATAATGTCCCAACTTCAAGGATTTTCACTTATTTTGGGGGGATCTGGAACGTAACCCACACGATAAACGAGGGACTACTGTATACGTTGGACAAAATTAGAGGATCAGCAACTGGCTGTGACTTGATCCTTTGATACTTTAATTTTTGTCCTTGCCGCAAATGCAAAAACAACCAGTGTTATCCTTCAAAGATTAGAAAGATAACAGTGTTATCCTTCAAAGAAGATGACTTCAGTGAAATAATGGAGGATGATTTAGCCTACAGAAGTCTGCAATGCTTCTTATTTTCAACTGCTTCAAGCTACAGCTCAGGCAGACAACAGGAAGCGCAGCGAGCATGCTGTGAGTTAAAACAAGTCTTACCGCTTCTGTGATATCAATGTTGACCACAGCTGTTGTGCTGAAGGACGGAGAACCCCGGTCCCTGGCCTGGACCACCAGAGACCACTTGCAGTCTTTTTGCTTGGTGATGTTCTGGACGATCTCCATCGACTTGATGAAGGGCTTTAGTTTGATCTCCCCGGTGACTGCGTTGATGTCAAAGGCATTATCGGGATCGGCCGTCATGATGGAGTACTCAATGACGTTGTTTGGAGACTCTGCATCCTCATCCACGGCCTATAAGAAGTGGCGGTAAGTTAGGAAACTAACGATTCTTTGTAAATCACCTTTAGAGCTTTTTTGGGTGACAAGAATCCAAGATGACCTTTGACCAAATGATAGATTTACAGCTCTGATGTTTAAAAGCTTTCCAACACACACTAAGATCTAAACGAAAGCTGAAAAAATAAAACTTGCAACAAAACCTTAACCTAAATGAAAGAGAATTGTATGATCATGATATGAATAATGTTTAATCAGTTCATGGCAGCTTTTGATTTTGTCTTTTGATTTGAATTGAGATCACTATACAACAAATCTCATGCCAGTAAACAAAAAAGATTTGGCAAAGACACGGGATTTCAGGTCCTTATTATTATCTCACCTTTTATTGTGGCAGACAATATAGTTACCTGTATCTGTGTGTGTGTGGGTGTGTGTTAGTTTGTTGGTCTATTAGTAAAATATCTCATAAACTAGTTGACAGATATTAATACAATTTTTAGAAAGCTATTATTGAATTTACATCTAAAGCTGATAAAAATTTGGAGTCATTCTAATTCAAGGCCGTCGCAGCCTATCAATCTTAGCAAACACAAAAATAGTTAAAACTCGATCAGTGTCACAGATTTGAGCTACAGTTTGGTGCGGGGGTGACTGAAACCCATCTGTAACACAAACTCTGAGCTCTAACAGATTGAGCACGTTCTTGTTTTAAACTTTGCCGATAACATTTTGGAGTCAGCCGTGTCTCTGTGAGCAAAACATCTCGTGAACCACTGCATGGATTTTAAAGACGCTAGGAAAGAAGTCACTAAATGCAAATCTACGACTGGTTACCTTTAAAAGTCGACTTGATTCAAAATGGCAGCCGCAGCTAATCAACCGTAGCAAACTCAAATTATCTGTGACTCAGTCAATTTTATAAATACGGTTACAGTGGCTGAAAGCCATCCACGACACATTCTCCTAAGTGCTAACAGATCATGCGAGCTCTTTGTTTTTTTTTTTAAAGAATCCTTTATCTAACACTAACAAAATATTCAGTTAATAAAAAAACACTAAAAAGTAACTAGAAAGTTCCTGTAGAAACTTTAATGGGGACTGCATCCGTTTGAAAATTTAGATTTGACAGTATGTGTTGGGGTTAGCTCTCAGCTACCATCACACCAAATTTCAGCTCAACATGGCAAAAATCAATGAGTTATAGTCATTTTTTTCTTTTACGCTATGGTGGCCATCTTGGATTTTTGATTTGGATTCAGTTTGTGATGCGGAACGTTCTCAGCTATAACCTCACCAAACTGAAACTCTATATGTGTAAAAATAGCTGAGTTAACGACATTTAAATGCACCTTTGGTGGCCATTTTGTATTTTTTTTTATTTGAATCCAGTATTTATTGGACATTGCTCTCAGCTATCGCCACACCAAATTTAATCTGAATCACTATAAAAATGGCTGATTTATATTACAGTAGTTTCCTTTTTAGCTCAGGTGGCCATCTTGGATTTTTGATTGGCAGTCAGAGTCTATTAGGGATTGTTCTCGGCTACCAATACACCAAATTTCAGCTAAATAGTATAAAAACCTCTGAGTTATACCCATTTGAAATTGATGCCCATCTTGCATTTTTAGATTTGAATTCAAAATGTGTTGTGGTCAGAACTGTCAGGTACCACCACACCAAGTTTCAGCTCAATATCTTTTAAAATAGCTGAGTTTTCATATTTTTCCCCTTTTAGCTAAGGATAAATCTTGTATTTTTAATCTGCATTAGGAATGTAGAACAACTCACACTCAGCTATGATCGTACCAAATTTCAGCTCAATATCTCAAAGAATGACTAAGTTTTAGTCAAATTAGGTTTTTCTGAGGTAGCTGTGGCAGCCATCTTGAACCAAAATGGCTCCAAAAGTTAATCACTGGTTTGTTCAGAGACCTCGCCGCTCTAGATCATGTGACCTCACTGTGGCAGTTAGAGGCTGTGAAGAGTTCCATCAGGGTTCTTCAATGATTAAAATGACGTCTTTGTTTGCAAATGACGTCGCCGTGGTAACTGGAAATGCAAATAAAAGTAAAAAAGCACACATCACTGTGCTGAGCCGGTCGTTTTGATATAAGATTCGTGGGGGTACACATTTAATTTCGGGCCGCATTAAAGTTGACGGAAGAGTAAGATATAAAGTTAAGAAACCATTGTCAGGTGGATAATAATAGGCGCGTCTCCAATTCAACATTTAGCAGTTGTATAAGATAATACAGCGTGATGTACCTGGACTTTGACAGGCGTGCCTATGATCATGGTCTTCTCAAATAATTTGTCATCAAACTCTGGAGGGTGGTCGTTCATGTCGAGGACGGTGACAAAGACTTCAGACAAGCCGTACTTCCCCTCTGAGTCTTCGGCCTTGACATAAAAGTTGTATTTGGATCTGACCTCTGCGTCCAGGCTGGTCCAGGGTTGGGTGGAGATGAGCCCTGATGACGGGTGGATGGAAAACCTGCAGAAAAAATAAAACTGTGCGTGAAACACAGCAACAGATGTCCATTCTATGCATTCAGAACAGACCAGGTGGCAAAAAATTATAGAATAAAAGTGAAAAAAAAATTGAACTGCGTGAACTTTTACACAGGTACATCTAATTAAAGTGAAAGCCCAGTGCTCTCTGAGTTCTTTCTTCTTCAGCGTTGGGCTCGCTGCCACTTCACTTGATCAACTTTCAGTCTTGTTTTCTGCTGCGAAAATTCACAAGTTGCTTTGAAACTGATAACTTTCACACAATTAAGGTTTGCTGTCTGCAGACGAGCATAAATTCTCACTTTTCCTCAGCTGCGCGCTGCCTTGCTTTTTTCGAAGCTTCCGTTTCTGTGGCTCCAGCTGTCACATCGCATGTTAATTGGCTCTGCCTTTGTGAGACGGGCTGGGCTGGTTATTTTTAACCCTCCAATCTAATTAGCAGATTAGCCAGCATCTCGCAACCATTTTGGAGTAAGCCGTTTGTGCAGTAGAGAGGATACGAAAACTGGTTTTCCTGTTTTGTTTTGGGTTTTTATGTCTCCCAACAGAAACACAATGTGAATCAAGACTGCTGTCCTGCCTTTTGAGCTTTCTTAAATACCCTATTACCGTATTTTTCAGACTATAAGGCACACTAAAAATCCTTTAATTTTCTCAAAAATCGACAGGGAGCATTATAATCAGGTGCGCCGTATGTATTCATTCTGGTTGTGCTTACTGACCTCGAAATGATTTTATGTGGTTACTGTGAATGAGCTGAATAAAGTCTGACATCTGACTGTTTTGTTGCGCCTAATATGTCTTAAAATCCAGTGCGCCTTTTGTATGAAAACACCGTTCATTGATATTGCGCCTTATAGACCGAAAAATACGGTAGTTAAAATTGACAGTTTATTATATATTTTTTGGAAGGGAATTGAACGTGTCACATATTTTCAAGGCGCTCAGTAGTGAAAGTTTTTTGTTTTATACGTACAAATCTGATCCTGATCCATAAATTGTGTACTTGACTTCACCCCAAGGCCCCGAGTCGGGATCCTTTGCCTGGAAAACAAAACAGGAACCAAGATTAATAATGCAACAAATTGTTAAAAGATTTGCTTTTCGTGAGCATAACTATTTATCTGATTAAACTGATGTTGCGTAGTGAAATAAAAAAAAAGAAAACGGTCCATATTTGATGGGACACATTATGGGACACATGCCTGAATTAGGCAAAAAGCAGCCAAAACAGCCCATTTTGGCTGCTTTTATCTGATTAACTGCATGTCGTAACACACTTTTGCTAAAGAGCGGATTGATTATATAATCACTCTGTTTGGGTAAAAGCAAAGCGGGGCACGATTGACTCACTGTGACAGACACAACACTGGAGCCTCCGGGAGAGTTCTCGGGCACTCTGGCGATGTAATACTCAGACGTGAAAGAGGGGATGTTGTCGTTCGTGTCCAGCAGGTTGATCACGATGTCAGCTGTGGCACTGAACCGCTCAGGAGTGTCGATCTCCACCGCCAGCAGCTGCACACACACAAAGTGATGGAATCTGAGCTAAACGTTATAAAAAAAATCTAAAGCCTACATCCAAATCAGCAACTCTATGAGAACATATTTATATTATATACTCAAACTTAGTGGTAAAATTTAAAGGAACATGACTGAAAAGTATTTTTAATCAAAAATCATAAAGTTATTTTTTATACTGAAATTGTTTTAAGTGTCCCATTATAATTCCTGATGTTTACTTTTAAACAATATAATAAATTCCAGTAATTCCAATGAAAAGTTATTAAATTATTTATGTAATTACTAAAACTAATAATTTTGTTCTTAATTCATAAAAAATATCCGTTGAGTTGTAAAGGAGCATTATAGAAGCACAACAACTGGGGAAAAAAATATATCCATAAACTGAGTTTTGAATAACTGAATTTTCATTATTGTACATTTTTAACATAATCATGTATTATTTTAACCCTCTAATGTCACAGTTTGGGAAAGCCTTAATGTTCCAATAATGTAATATTTCTGTCATTTTGAACATAAAGATGCTTTGTAATTTTTTTTTTTTTTTTTATTAAAA